CATGAATACAGAATATTGCGGGCATGAATAGTCTAAGCAAATATCTGCATGACTGGTTTTACAAAGATGTATACAAATTTAACAATTGTACAGACGTTTCACAATCTCACAGTTCTGTGAAATAACCCATTTTATTATATAATTACCAATGAAATCTATTTTTCTCTATTTCGAAAAATTGATATCTTCACACGTGAAAATAACATGTTATTTTCACGTGTGAAAATAACACCATTGCGATGGTTATTCAAAAATACACGGAAAGAATTGCCCGAAAAAGCCAAAACATACTTCATTGATAATTATATAATAAACAGAATATTACATGGCCGCTTGGAGATACGAAATTTATCTTCTCGTGTTGAAAATCTCTCACTCGTTCGCTGCGCTCACTCGTGAGAGATCTTTTCAACACTCGAAGATAAAATTCGTATCTCCGCGCGCTCAAGTAATATCCTCTATATTATTATCATTATTATTATTATTATTATTATTATTATTATTATTATTATTTTGGCGGATCATAAATGCATGTTTGGCGATTACATGACTAAAGACTTTTCGAAATAAAGTCACTTGAATAATTATTTCTCTTTAACTCTAGTCTTTAAACAGAAGAAAAAACATAAATACACAAACCTTTAACGCAAAAAAGTCATTTTTCATGAGATATCAATAATTTAGAATTCACAACATTTAACGCTTGTTTTAAGACTACCGAGCCTCAAAACTCCCAAAATACGCCCTATCAGTTAACTCACCAGTTAGCCCGCCTTTCGTTCGTGTTTCTTTCAAAGTGACCAACTGGTTTTCGATGAGAACTATCCAGTTGACTAAAATCGATGTCTACAGTGTCCTGTACTGAGATTTTTCTCGCTACACTTGCAAGTTGTTCGTTATGACTAATTTGCATCAGATCTAGCAGTTTGATACATCAGTCTGCCTAGATAGGATATATGTAGCAGGCTCAACCACTTGCTGACGTCCGACCTAAACATAATGGAGTGACTAATAATCAAGTATATTTTTTTGAGTATTTTTGCCTTGTCAATAGGCCGTTTGCATGATGGCATCATTTGACTCCAACTACCAAAATGCTTAGTGAATTTTCTTTCTTATTCAAAGAAAAGTAAGTATTACTAATATTTCACGGATATGCTGTTTGCACTCTAATGCAAGTGACAGGGTTCATGCTACTCCTTGAAATCCTTGAAAAGCCCTGGAATTCAAAACCCATTTTTAAGTGCACTCGAAAAGCCCTTGTAAATAGCAAAGTTGCTGGATACTCCTGGAATACTCCTTGAAAATGCAACAGTCCATTATTTTACATCGATGATATGGAGCCTGAAAATAACGTATTGTTCCTATGCATTGTTAGGAAGAAATTCACAAACAAAATTGACCCTTGATAATCATAATTTTGGACCTTGAAAAGTCCTTAAAAAGCCCTTGAAATTTGTGTCGGAGACGTTAGCACGAACCCTGAAGTGATCTATCTGTTTTTCTCCTTTTAGTTGACATTGACATTTTGCGTTACTGGGTATTGATGGTTTTCAACCATTCCAAAGAGAATTGAATAACTAAAGACACGGCGGCCATGTTGGAGGATACAACAAAAGAGACTACTGACGAATCTTTTGTTAGAGGTTCCTCAAACATGGCCGCCGTGAAAACCGTCAATAGTTTCCTCATAGCAATTGCAACGTCCTTTCAATTTCTGGATTGGCAGCTTACTCGGTTCTATTTCTGGATCAGTCCTATTGTCGATATCTCTTATCTATTTTTGGCTGCTATACAATAAACGTCTAAGATAGAAACGAGTACAAAATGTGATAAAATAAACGCATCAAGGTGGAAGGAATTTGAATAGACATAATTTATAAAAGAAATGTGAAAATTATCTGAACTTTAAGATCATTTACTATCAGGATTTTTTTTTTTTTATGAAGAAAAAAAAAAAAAAAAAAAAAAAAAAATTTTTTTTTTTTTTAAAAAAAAAAAAAAAAAAAAAAAAAAAATTCCTTAATTGGTATCGATTCTAGTTGCCGAGTTACAATAAGATCTTTCGGGTAAAAAAATCACTTTCGGAAGTTCAGCACTTGAAAATCGAAAGCAAAATTCAAGTGTTTAGTTGGCACAAACCTGACAAGATGTCAACAGAAATCTTTTCTTCATGCATTGCATATCTGATCGAAAATTGTACTGGTGTTGTATTAATTAAACAATTTGAAGGCACGTCGATGCAATCATCTGAGTTGCGAGAGGCTTTGATTGACAGCCAAGTTTATGAGCATTCCAATGAATTGGAGGAGTTCATCAGATTTGACCCCAGCGACACCATATTCCAAGAATTTGACCCTCCAGAACACCTAGAATCCGATCCTAAAGGATGGAGAAAAAGCTTGCCAACGTTAAAGAAATCTCTTTGGGAGTGTCTTAAAAGTGTGCTTCTTATTCAAACAGTGGCTGGTAGTCTCATCGGCTTGCTTGCTGTTGGTTTCGTATTCCTCAACTTCGTCACTGTAGAATGGTGTAACGAAGACACCCCACACTGGAACAGAATGCCAATAAAAGTCCAACGTCTTCGAGTTACAGCAGAGTCTATTGAAGGTTTTTTTATCCAAATGTGGGACTTCTTTTGTATATTGCTCCTGTTTCCTTTGCCTTTGGTCAACAACCTTCATCTTTTGACGTTAAACTTGTTGGGGTCATTCATTGACATAACTTTCAAGCTTTTCTTACAGTTGTATGGTATCTACAGGATTCATTGGATGTCATTTCCTCTAAACGTGTTGTTTTGCCTGCTAATAGTTATCAATAACTATCTTTTAGCCCGCCACTTTTGTCCTCATTCTTTCAAGAACGCTGTAAGAATAGACTTTATCCTTTCTGCACAGTTCCTTCTAGGAATTCCAGTGGCACTTTTCTTGGTTTATAAACTGTTTCCATTATACGTTGGGCAAGTGGCTCAAACGAAACTCATCCTGGCTGGACTATGTCCTCTGATTTCAGCCTTCCCTAAGGTAGTGTGTCGGTTTTGTGCTCAGAGCTTAAAAGGTATCATCCATCCTGGAACAGCTCATGTTCTCGTTGCCGTGATCTATGGAGCTTCTGCAGTTGTGTTTCGTGTGATGCAAGCAGAACTGACGAGCCTTGGTCTCTTTATAACTCTGGGAATAGCCCATGCCGTCATGGATCTTCTAGAGAGGATTACTATTACAATGAGAGATCATATCTGGGAGTATTTGTATCGCTTGGTGCGACGACAGAGAAGTAGACGACCAAAGTACATCAGCCCAAGAAGCAGGCGTTTTATTGCAGATGTGAGCATCCAGATTATGATGCAAGAGGCCACTGCTATGATCACTGCATTAGGATTCATCAATATTTACCAATTTTTATACAGTGATCCCAAACCTTTCTCTAATTATCACCTTATAGCTGACTTCTTTATCCGTGCAGCCATTGGCTTATTCATTGACTTGGTTTTTAATGTAATTTCTCTCTTCATCCAAACTCGTGTCATGAATGTTGCGGTCAACAGAGTTTGGAAAAAGAAATGGCGTTACCACATGTTAGTCAACGTCCTGCTCATTTCTGTTTCGGTTCTATATTTCAGTGGCCATATGTATGAGATAGTCAGGAGTAAGTATGAAAAAACTGGAGCTAGGGTATCGCCATATTCATCGAATTGTTCCTTTCCCAGCTTCTTTTGAATTTAAGTCTTAGCTTCATATGTTACATATATTTGCCATTGAATTTTACTCACGGATCAAGACTTGACAAATACTTGAGACTAAGTTTCAATACAGTTCAAAGAATGAAATGGCTATTTCGACCTATAAAGCCATTTTAAAAAGTTTAAGTGAAGTAAGCGAGTGTTCGTGGCTGAGATAATGAATCAATGTCTTCGCATTAGTTCTGACATCTAATAGGCCCTTTACAGTTAACGGTCACGTGTCTGTACTGGTGAGCAAATGGATTTCTCATTTTATTTTAAATTGGTGATTCTTTTTAGCTACTTGTAAAGAACTGAATGAAACGATGTGTATCCAGTGTGTTACGAAATGCAGTTTTATTACGATCTCTCGAAACAGGTTGTAGAAAGTGTGTTTGCTCACCAGTATATTTCACCTATGGGAATCAAAATGTTCATTCATTTGCTCTCAGTGAATTAATCAGCACGTGATTGCTTAGCTGCAAAGGGCCTATTGGACCAGCAACCATCCCCGAGATAGTTTAGGATTCAATATCAAGTGAATATACTCACTAGCTGCAAAATATTTTAAAACTTAGACATTTTGAATAGATGATAATATATGTAAATTGATGCTATTTGGATAGTGGCCAAGTGAATTGTAGGTTTTTATATTATGATCTTAGGATTCAACTTCAATATTAACAATATTCTTTTGAAAGTGGTTCAGAATAATTTGTATATACATTAATGTAAGTAAGATTTACAAGTTTGACTGAATTTGAAATGTAAATATTGGTATATGTTTTCTAATCATGAATGATATTTTCCCCAAAATATAGTCAATATGTCATTTTCGATGAAAATGAAAGATAAACAAAAGTTTAATCTTCTTACGGGCAAACAAATAGCTTTCTTATTCGTGGAATTTAGTATTTGGAAGTCTGTTTGTTTTCTTTTTTTTGATTGGTTTAATATGAAATAATTTTCGGCCTTTTTATTTTTCATTTAGTTATAGTGAGGTACTTTCCCCACTTAAAACAAAGATTACCTATAAGCGAAAAATTGTGAATTTACGTCACTGTTCAAAAAAACAATATATACCCCAAGATCTATTAACTTGAAAGCAAGGTCGATGTTCAGTCTTCACAGATATAAGCCGTTAGTAACAAATAAGGGAGATGATTACAGTCATCGTTTCTGCAATTGCTTATCTGGTCGAAAGCTGCACAGGTGTAGTTTTAGAAGAACAATTGGAGAACACTTCAATACAAGAATTCGAGTCATTGTGTGTGTGGGATGCTTCAGCACAATTGGAAGATTTCACCAAATTTGATCCCAAGGACGCAATATTCCAAGAATTCGATCCACCAAGACAACTCGAAGACGATCCTCAAGCATGGAAAAAAAGCTTGCCAACTTTCTTGAAGTCTTTCTGGGAGTGTCTCAAAACTGTTCTGCTTATCCAAACAGTGGCTGGTTGTCTTATCGGCTTGTTTGCAGTAGGAATATATTTTTTTAACTTACTCACTTTAGAATGGTGTAACGAAGAGACCCCACACTGGAATAAAATGCCAATACAGGTTCAGCGCCTTCGAGTTACGACAGCAGCTATTGAAGGAATTTTTGTCCAAATGTGGGATTTCTTTTGTATCATATTGATTTTTCCGCTCTCGTTAATCAAAGATCTACATTTACTCACTCTCAATCTGTTGGCAGGTTTCATAGAGCTGGCGTACAGGCTATTCTTACAGTTGTATGGGATCTACAAGATCTCTTGGATGGCTTACCCCTTGAATGCATTATTTTGCATTGTAGTACTCATTAATAATTTTCTTTTAGCCCGACATTTTTCGCCACATTCTTTAGGAAGAGCCATCAGAATAGACTTTATTCTGTCCGCCCAGTTTCTTCTTGGAATGCCTGTGACATTTTTTATTCTTTATGAATTATTTCCACTTTACGTTAGTCAAGAAGAACGCATAAAGATCGTCATAGCAGGAATGTCTCCCTTTGCTTCAGTTATTCCCAAAGTCATTTGTCGTCTTGGAGCTCAGAGTTTGAATGGAATTATCCACCCTGGAACAGCCCATGTTCTTGTAACAGTTATCTATGGAGCTTCCGCAGTTGTGTTCCGAGTTTTACAAGCAGAACTGACAAGCATTAACAAGTTCATAGCATGTGGAATAGCCCATGCTTTCATAGATCTTCTGGAGAGGATTACTATTACAATGAGAGATAATATATGGGGGTATTTGTATCGCTTGGTGCGACGACAGACAAGTAGACAGCCAAAGTACATCAGCCCAAGAAGTAGGCGTTTGATAGCTGATATCAGCATCCAGATTATGATGCAAGAGGCGACTGCTTTGATCACCACTCTGGGATTCATCAACGTCTTCCAGTATGTGTACAGCACGTCTAAACCCTTTACTGATTATGAACTTGTTTTTAGCTTCTTTATTCGAGTTGGGCTAGGGTTGTCCATTGACTTGGTCTTTAATGTCATTTCTCTCTTGATCCAAACTCGTGTCATGAATATAGCAGTCAACAGGGTTTGGAAGAAGAAATGGCGTTACCATTTGCTCGTCAACACTGTTCTTCTTTTTGTGTCTGTTCTTTATTTTAGTGACCATTTATTTGGTATAGTGAAAAGTAAGTACAAAGACAGAACTATTTCTCACTGGAATTGTTCGTTTCCAAGCTTTCTTTAAAAAATTAATATACTTTTTATGGCATTAATAACATTGCTAAGGAATTCTTTGGGTAAAACATTCATTTTGTTATTTTGGTTAAGTTAAAGAAAGCAGAAAGTCTCTTTTCTGTAAAACTAGCTTCCAAGCACCGAATTTGCCAAGAAATTAAACCAATCACATTCTGATTTAGGAATGTTAATGCAACAAATATGTATATTATTGGACTCCTTAAATTTCTTAAGAAACAGTGCCTAAGATAGAAGAGCAATCCTATAATTCTCTCGAAAGTGTTGCGACATTTTTTATAATTTACTTATTCAAATCTGAAGATCTCAAAATAGTTTTCAGAAGTTCTAATGTTCCAAAACAGACAATTTTAAATAAATTTTCGAAAACTACATTTTTTAAGCTTTCAGAAGATGCTTATTTTTATGGAAAAATATTGTAAAATCCGTGCAAAATTTGAGGTAACATCCAGGGCCCAAATCCCCTCCTGATATCTTTATGTACTATATGTGCGTCAGTAATAGCAATGATCAAGAATACGATCCCAACTAAGATGCATGATGTTAGAATATTTCTCGAATACTCTTGAAAATATAGGTTTTATAGATTTTTTATCTTACCTAGAATTTTATTCTAATTCCCAGTTTTTTTCCCTAACCCAGGCGCATTAAAAGAAGGTTATATAACGAACATGAACGATAGACAAACACCTCTTTCACGGCCATCGGCATCGATAAAGCCGTAATTAGCGTCGTTTGAGGCTGCTTATTTTAGAGCTCTCCTGCTTTTTGCTTTTATTTCTCTACCTCGAGAACAATTACATACGGTGATCGTGCTTTCAGTGTTGCAGCACCGAAATTGTGGAATACACTGCCCGATAATGTCAAGTCTTGCTGTACTGTAAATAGCTTCTAAACAAAACTAAAAACTCATCTTTTTAAAAAGGCTTTTCATAGTTAATTGCCACTCAAGAAACTTTTAAATCAAAATAAGTTTTTTTCATTCTAATGTTGTTTTTTTTGTTTTTGTTTTTGCTTGTTTTTTTTTCTT